CATCCATCTACCATGTGGTTTACATTTAATGAATTCACGAAGAAAAGATTCGAAAGATTTCTTCTAACGTCAACTTCCAAAATATCACGACCAACCTTAGCGATAGAAAGATATAACCAAATTGAGTGCAAGATTTTATCCAAAAGAAATCCCCAAGCTAAAGAGCTCCCTTCAAAAGTTCTTCTATTCCTCTCTTTTCAAATTTCCCATAAAATCACCCCCCTAGAAATTTGCCAAATAATAACTCCAACCTTAGGAAGGAAAAGAAGTGACAAGTTGACCAGAGCTCCATCAATCTTATGTGGTAAATCCATAGCCACACCAAGCTGACCAAAGAACCAGTTCCAAACTCGAGAGACGAAGGGGTAATGGAGGAAATGATGATTGACAGTTTCATTATCTTCCTTACACATCAAGCAAATGTTAGGTAAAATATTGCCCCTTTTAATAAGATTATCTACCGTTAAAACTATGTTCTGAAACACTAACCAAATAAAAGCGTGGATTTTTCGAGGTAACGACCATTTCCAGATCACTGCAAGTTCAGGCATGGACCACCGCCAACGATCATGAAATAAAAGACAATACATAGGTTTTACTGAATATTCCCCATCCTTGTCAATCTCCCATATTACCTCATCAGAACCATTACTTTGGACGTAATAGAGATAACAGTGCAGAGAGCTCATCAAAAAGCACATCAAAAATTTTGTTATAGGGTAGCATTAAGTTCCAAGTAATACTACTATCCCTTCGTTCATAGTAATCTGAAATAGAAGCATTGGAGTTGCTTACTTTTTGGAAAACCAAAGGAAACAACAGATTTAAGGGAGAAGATCCTAGCGACAAGTACTTAAACTTCCAAAGGTCGAGCTTAACCTGAATTCTTTCAATGATTTTGTCCCAAACAGCCAAAGCGAGGTGACCATCCGAGATTTGCATTCCTAAATAAACAATAGAGAAGTTTTCCACCCTGCACCCCATTAAGTCAGCCAGCTCTTGAGTTAAAGAAGTCGAACAGTTAATCCCCACAATTGCAGATTTTGTGAAGTTGACCTTAAGACCCAGAGCTACCTCACAGCACTTCAAAAATGTCGCAATGTTACTAATATGGTTAGCCTTCGCCTCACAGAAGAGCAGTGCATCGTCTGCATATTGCAAATGAGAAATACGCGGACCCGCATTAAGCAACTGAAAACCATAGAAGTTCCCACTTCTCTCAACATTTTTGATAAGAAGGTTGAAGCATTCAGCATAAATGGCGAAGAAAAAGGGTCACAAATGGTCTCCCTACCTCAGCCACCTAGAAGCTTTGAAAAAACCAATTGGGCTCCCTATATATAAAATAGAAAAATGGGCCGAGGACAGGCACCCAAAAATCCACTTTCCTCCAAATCTCCCAAAACCCATATTTTTCAAAATTTCTAGCAAAATACCCCACTCCACCCGATCGTAAGCTTTCTCCATATCGGGCTTTATAATCACCCCAGCATGACCGAGCATAATCCATGAATGAATACACTCCTGGGCAACTAGTACACCATATGAAATTAACTAATTTTTGATAAAAGCGGTTTGAGGGCCAGAAATAAGAGCTGGTAAAACAATCTTTAACCGTTCTGCTAGCACCTTAGCCACTATTTTGTAAATGCTCGTCAGAAGACTAATAGGTCGAACATCACCAAGAGAGGTAACAACCGACTTTTTTGGGATCAGTGCAATAAAGTATGAGTTACCCCTTTGAATAACTCTCCTCTCCTGAGAAACCCTCTCACTATTTCCAAAAGCTCACCACAAATAAGATCCCAAAACCTATGGAAGAAAATTAAAGGAAAACCATCTGGCTTGGTGCCTGATCCCTTGGTAAAGCAAACACTGCCTTTTTGAGTTCCTCCATTGTTACCTCTTTTTCCAAAAAAAGTCTATCAGCAAAAGAAAGAACCTTAAACCCAACTCTAGAAAACCTCGGGAGGTTCTTCACCTCAGAAGAAAAGGCTTTGAGGAAATGACTAGCAACTGCACTTGACATTGCGCTACTGTCCTTTGCATTCACCCCTTGAATAACCATACCAGACACATCATTATGCCTCCTCCTAGCATTTGCAGTAGCATGAAAAAACTTCGTGTTAACATCCCTTTCCTTTAACCATCTTATCCTATAACTTTGTTTCCAATAAATCTCTTCAGATCTTCTAAGGTTCTTAAGGTCATTCAATTTATAACTTCTCTCCCTTGCCATATCCTCAGACCAAACTCCAAGAGTTTGCATGGCAGAATCAATCTCCTGGACATCCCAAAGAACATCCTAGATTTTCTTAGAAACAAAGAAACCGACAGATCTTTTCCAATTTATCAGCCTATGTTTAATATTGAGTAACTTTTCATGGAGTTGAAAATCTAATGTGCCAATAGAAATCATATTTTTCGAAGTACTCTTAATGAGATCACAAACCTCTTTTTCTTAAAGCCAACCAATTTCCAATCGAAAAAGGCCTAGGTCCTCCCATAGAAGCTTTGATACCCAGCAATAATGGAGTGTGATCCGAAGAAAATCTTGGTAGCGCTTTAACAGCAGCCAGGGGGAATGTCTCAGACCACTCACCCGATACCAAAAACCTATCTATTTTAGACATAGACAAGTTTGAAGTACTCCCATTTGACTAAGTAAAGGATGCACCAGCAATAGGCAAATCATGCAGAGCAAAGGACTCAATAAACCTATTAAAGAGTCGCATTGCTAAATTAATAGAGCTCCCAAAATTACTCTCATCCGGCCAGCCATCTACTCAAATTAAAGACACCCCCCCCCCCCCCTCCCCTCTCTAGTAAACAGGAAAAGCAAAACCATTAATAAAATCTGACAACTATGCAATAAAGGCTTCTTTCAAAGAAAAAGTTTGAGGACCATAAATATTCACTAATCCCCACTTAAAATCTACTAAAGGCCCACCAAACCCCACCATAACAAAATTATCCTTAAAAAGATGAAAAAATGACCTCAACATTGTTGGGTCCCACAAAACCCACAACCTCTCAGAAGCCCCAACAGAATCTAAACCAACAAAATCCACTGCACCATTCCCCCAAACCTCCCTGACCACCGATAAAGTGGGACCAGGGAGTTTGGTCTCTTGGAGAGTAACTATAGAAGGTTTGTACTTAGAAACTAAAAAAAGAACATCTTTCTTTCTTTTGAGGTCACCAAGACCTCTTACATTCTAAGTGAGAATAAACATAATAAAGGTTTAGAGGATGAAGAGTCATCCCAGCTCTCACCTAGATTGGAGTCATCCTAGAGCATATCCGCCTCCATAGCACCTCCTGAATCATCATCCACAGTTATTGGTGGAGAGAATTCCACTTCATCCACTTGCAAGTCTCGAATCACAGTTCCTCCACTTGCATGCTACAAACTCCTCGAGCCTCCAGCCTCTCCGAATGCCTCGTCCCTTTAGCAGGCCCCTTTTCTTTCTTTTTGCCATTCTTATCTTCATTCTGAATCGGGGACATGCTTCCGAGGTCTCCCTTGCCATCCTCTTTGCAGCCTTCCTCTCCTCAAAAATCTGCTTGAACACCACACCAATGGGGACCTTAAAGTCTATCCCACTATCAGCTACCATGGGCCCAACCATGTCCGAAATTTCACGATCCAAAGTTTCTTTAGTATCAGTAGGAATTACCACCGGGGGATTCACCCCCTTCGGTTGATCCATCTCCAAAAGTAATGGAGGGTCCTCGGCAGGAATAAAGTGATATGGCCAGGAGTCCTCCATCTCCACCACCTCAAAATTAGAACTTATAGAAGGGTCCTCATTCTCCCTCAGGGATCCGTCCACATGCAACCCATGTTCCAAGCCCTCATCTATAACAACTATCGCTAAAGGGTCGATTGCAGGTCAAGTGAGTTTTAGGCAACTAGTGTTTAACTACTTGGCCGTGTTATTTTAACTCAGCCTCTCACCAAACCAAGTTTTTCATGTCAATTTCCCTTTTTTGCATTTTTCCCTTTCTTCATTTAAGATTTTTCTGAATCTTCATGGAAATCTATTTTATCTATATCCAATTTTTTCTTATGTTTTTTATTGTTGTCTTGCTTTTACAATTGTATTTTAATTTTAACAAAAAGAAATGTTTTTTTATTGTTTATGCCCTTAGGATCCTTTACACTACTTTACTATGGGAATTGGGCATATAACTGAAGACTTTGGATCTTGCACCAGACTTTTAGGCAACCCTACTTCTTAGACACCACTGTGATATGTCCAAATACAGCGAAAACACGAAAAAGAACTTACAAAAATGGATCGATGTTACATAAACATGTTGTGAATCCGAGCATCCTTTCTGTTTGCTAGCCCAGATCTTCCCCTTTCGCGATTGAGAGTTCGATTCATAACTCAAAACATCCCTAAGAAGAGGCATCCCCACAATTTTTGTTAGTCAATAGATTTTGAGAATACAACTATGGACTATTGAAAATTTAGGTGTGGCATCAATAGGCGATAAGATGAGAGAGATGAGACTTAGGTGGGCTGGCTTTTTGTGGCGCAGACCCAATGCAACATCAGTTAGGAGGTATAAGTTAATTCAAGTGGAATGCTAAAAAAAGGTAGAGTACACCTAAAGGATATAATTGGAAGTAGTGAGAAAATATATGGGGATTTATGGCCTCACTGAGAGTATGACTCTTAATAGAGCCAAATGATAGACTAGGATTCATGTAGTCAACCCCAATTAATTAGAAAAAAATCTATGATGATGATGATACTTCAAACATCTACGAATTCCTATTTAAATAGTGAAATTTTTTGAAATTATAGAAACCTGTACTTATTTTTTGGTATAATATTTTTATTCCTTTTATGTCTACCCATAATAAGAAGGTGGTTAATTGTATATGTTGCTTTCTTTAGTAGTACATAGCTTTGTTTCAAGTTTCTTTAGTAGTACATAACTTTCTTTAGTAGTACATGCTTTCTTTAGTAGTACATAACTTTGTTTCAAGTTTCAAGTTTCTCTCTGATGCATTGATCCTCTGTTTCAAGTTTCTCTCTGATGCATGCGATTACCTTGAGGTTCTCGCTTAAGGCATAAGCAGATTTCTTCCTAATAAATTGGTCATCTTCACCAATAACATGTCTCCATTCATAATGGCTAAGAATAACCCCCTTACAATCAATATCTTTTAGTTGCTCCACATTAAGTTCCCCTGTGAAATTACCAACCCAAGAGTTTTGAGTAGATATCTCAGTACGATCAGTCAATGAGCTTTTTACCTGATCGATATATACATATGGAGGTGCAACAACAATGTCAACATCCTTCTCAAGTTCTGCTCAATTGGGTCATGTCGAACCACTACTGACCAAACTATCGCACCCAGTCTGGTGGGCACACAAGATCCTGACCGCGCAAGAGACCAACCTTCCCAAGCAGAGAGTCAGCATGATCATCGTCGGGCAATCTAACGACGAGCAAGAAGATCATCTGACTTGGCTTGAGAGTATGATAGCCCGAGCAATGGAGATGCTCGAATTGATGGAAAGTGCTCGGCCCCTTGAGAATTCATCTCACCATGGGGCCAATTCTCCACAGCTCTCCTATCCGACTGGGGAAGCACCAAGGCAGCCGCCTCCCCCAGCTCTCTTAGCCATTATTCCCCTCATCGAGTCTCACAAGCTGACATCGATGACATGGTCAGCCATAGCTTGCGGAGTAGACAGATCACAGACGTGCAAGATACAACCCTATATCGGAAGCCCTATCCCTCTTATGTCCAACTATGGTGACGACACCAAAAGCACCCCTCAATGGTCCAAGCAGGGTGAAGACCTAAAAGATTCCTTGCACACGTCCAATTCTGGTGATGATATTAAAAGCTACCCGGATCGGTCCAATATGAGTGATGACCTTAAAACCTCTCTCCCATCTTTTATCCCAGATTCTTATACTTCCTTTTTCTCTAGCACGTCTTTTACAGGTCCGGCTCTTGAATACTCCGATTTCGAGGTTCTTGACAAGGAGCTTAAAAGCTGCAACACTAGCAGGCGGCTGAAGAAGACGGTGGCTCAAGCAGCTGAAGAAGACGGTGGCTCAAGCAGCTGAAGACGGTGGCTAAAGTAGCTTTGCTGCTGCTAGTCACTGATGCATTGGCGTCTAGAGCCAACGTGAAGCCTCCTCCCACTACTGAGGAGCTCATTACGCAACAAAAGAACCCTAAGCCAGAGAAATCCCAGTGACCTCTTGAGCCCGATTTCCAGCAGGTACTAAGAGAGTCGAGCAGGCAGAGCTTCCACTCTCATGAAGCATGTCATATGGTGAAGATCTTTGAAGTAGTGACCAACACTGACCAAATCGGTTTAAGATCAGGGGGGAGGTTACAACCACCCATGCAGAAACCAAGACTCTTGAAGTATCATGGACTACCACTCATCCTATACCCAAATACCTCAACTAATCCACCACCACTCCTCAAATACCCGGGACCACCATTGGTTCCATATACCAAACCATCTTCAGATCCTCAATCTCCAACAACATTATTCTTACCTCCCAATATAACCAATCCAAACTGGACTCGGCCACACGACCTAGCCAATCAGTACCAAGTCCGGTTGCGCAACCTTTGCCTACCCAATCCGTACAACCACTCTAATCCATGCTGGCTGCATATCAAACTCAACCGGCACCCCAGAATAGCTTTCCACCACCTAAGCCTAACCTACAACCTACCATCCCACTAAAGCCCATGGCGGATCCAGGAGTATTTTGAAATCGTGATCCTAAAGGTAGGGATCATGTGGAGGTTGTCTCTATGATCAGCGAATCACAGAACTGTCTCGTTACACTCCTTGAACCTTGCTCTCCACAACTAACCCAGGGCCTTCAGAATCTGCTCTCTCAACCTTATGCATTCCCTCTCCTTGAAACTGACCCCTCTTCAAGCAGGCAAGTAGTTGAAGTAGCCACCATGATCCACACCATCAAAGACCAATTTGAGATGGAGATGTCAAAAGCATGGGTACCTACAAACTCGAAAGTTGGGGTATTCAAGGTCAATGAAGAACCATTGGGGTTGCCAATCGCCGATGAAGGAGAAGTTCAGGAAGCCCCTGAAGTGTGGGAAGAAGGCAGACAGGCAACGGCCGATGATTTGGAGGACTTAAACTTGCAAGATGAGACCAACATAAGGTCAACTTTTATTTCAGCAAACATGTCACCAAATGAAAAAGAAAACATCATCGCCTTCCTATAAGCAAACCGAGATGTCTTCACTTGTCACTATCATGAGATGCCCAGTCTTGATCCTCAAGTTGCGGTACATCGACTCGGTATTAACCCATCCTTCAAGCCTGTTCAACAAAAATCGAGGAGCTTTTGACCAGATCTTGAAATGTAGATCGATGTTGAAGTGAGTAGACTCAGGGAATCAGGTTTTATCCGAGAGGTTAAGTACCCGAAATGGCTCACCTATGTTGTACCGATTAAGAAGAAGAACGGGAAAATCAAAATCTGCATTGATTTCGGTGATCTAAATGATACCTGCCTAAAGGATGACTTCCCACTACTATTCACGAAAATGCTTATTGATTCCACAGCCCATTGTCAAATCTTTTCCTTCATGGATGGGTATTCAGGGTACAATCAGATAAGGATGGCACCAAAGGACGAAGAGGCCACAGCTTCCCTGACTCCAAAGGGGGTTTTCTACTGTACGATGATGACGTTTGAATTGAGCAATGCATGTGATACCTTTCTACAAGCCATGACTGCCATCTTTAAAGATATGCTGCATAAGAAGGTGGAATGTTATGTAGATGACTTGGTGGTGAAAGTAAAGGAAAAGGATGTCCATATGCATGACTAGGAATGAGTGTTTGAGCCACTCCGCTTGCATCAGCTCAAAATGAACCCCTAGAAATGTGCATTTGGCACGCATTCAGAAAAATTCTTAAGGTTCATTGTAAAATATCGAAGACTGGATATCGAGCCTGTCAAGATCAAGGTAATCCGAGAAATGCCTCCACCAACGACACTTTGAGAACTCCGGTCTCTACAGGGCCAGCTTGCTTATATTCGAAGATTCATCTCTAATCTCTAAGGTTGTTGTAAACCCTTTACACACCTGTTAAAGAAAGATTCACCTTTCATATGGGATGCGGCATGTCAGGCAGCCTTGGATGATATCAAAGAGTATCTATTAAGCCCACTCATACTCTTCACACCATTACTTGGGAAGCCCCTCATTTTGCACGTAACCGCCCTTTATAGTCACTTGGTGCGCTCCTAGCACAAAACAATGAAGAAGGAAAAGAAACTGCTTTATATTATCTCAGTCGTAGAATGCAGGGAGCTGAGAAGAACTACCCACCAATCAAGAAAATGTGCATGGGTTTGATCTTTGCAGTCCAGAAGCTATGTCATTACTTGCTCGGTCATGAAGTCCAGCTCATCTCAAAAGCTGATCCTATCAAGTTCCTCATGATGCATCCTTCTTTATCGGGGTGCCTGACAAAACAGTAACTATTACTGATGGAATTCAACATCATGTATGTACCGCATAAAGCCATCAAAGGCTAAACTTTGGCTAATTTCCTAGCAGCACATCCCCTACCAGTAGAATTTCCCCTATTGAGTGATCTCCCTGATGAGGAGGTGTTTTGCGTCGAGCCAGCTTATGATTGGAAGATGTATTTTGATGGGACCTTTCAATCTGAACGAGGTGGTGCCGGTGTGGTGACCCTCAAGATGGCGTCATCCCCTTGTCTTTCTCTCTCGCAAAGATTAGCTCATACAACGAGGCTGAATATTAGGAGCTCATAATAACACTCGAAATTGCCTTAGACCTGGACTTGGAACAACAAGCTGTTTTTGGATATTCTGAGTTAGTGATACGACAGCTCAAAGGGATATACGATGTGAGAAAAGATAGCCTCGAGCCCTATCATGACACTGCTAACACCTTGATGGCGAACCTCGATGACCTTTCCTTAAGGCACATCTCCAGAAGGCTGAATTCCCAGGTCGATGCCCTTGCCAAGCTCGGCGCCACTATTCAAGTCTCCTCAAAAGAACCCACACCTATATGGGTAGCAGAGCGAAGGCACATCGGGCTGGTTAAAGAGCTATATGGGGACTATGAGAGGATTCTTTTCTCAAAATGCCCTCCTTACCCACTCGGGGCACTCCTCACTATCAAGGATGCCCTCGAAGCCAAAAGAGGGGCAAAGTAGATCCAAGGCCATAAGTCTGAGAAACAAGAGGTAGAGATCTTTGATCTGATATGCACCGAGATTGAGCAAGTTGAAGATTGGAGAGAACCCATAATTAACTTTAATAAACACGCTCGGCTACTGGATGATCACATTGAGCGCAACAATATATGAAGAATGTCCACCAAGTATACTCTTCTCGAAGGTGATACTCCCTTCCGACGATCCTTCGACGGCATCCCCCTTAGATTCGTCGACACAAAGGGGGCGAGGCAAGTACTGAAAGAAGTGCATGCCGGGATATGTGGTCTTCATCAGTTCGAACCTAAGCTCTATGAACGGATATGCGGGTTGGGGTATTACTGGCCATCGATGGTCGCAGACTCGTTGACCTATGCCAAGAGGAGCCAAGTGTGTCAGATACACTCGAACCTCATTCACCAGCCACCAGAGCCTCTGCATCCTACAGTGATGTCATGGCCTTTCTCACAATGGGGCACGGACATTGTCAGACCCATCGACCCTCTCTTAGCATTGATCCATACCTTCATCTAAGTTGCTATGGATTATTTCTCCAAATGGGCCCCCCTCAGACATGTCCCCGGGGCATTGGTGGCCAACTTTGTGTGACCTCACATCATTTACATATTCAGTGTACCTGACCTAATCACATCAGATAATGGTCCTCAGTTCAGAAGCCAACACATCGACTGCTTGATTAACCAGTTTGGCTTCAAGTGGAAGAACTCTACTATGTACCACCCCGGGCAAATGGTTTGGCGGAAGCTTTCAATAAGACCATTTGCAGTGTTCTGAGGAAATCGGTGTCGAAGACAAGGAAAAATTGGCATGTGAAGCTTCCCGAAGACTTATGGGCTTATCGCACCACCACCCATAGTGCCACTAACTCTACTCCCTATTCATTAGTTTATGGGAGTGAAGCGGTACTACCCCTCGAGATCCAACTTCCTTCGCTTCGTGTCGCCGTACATCATGATATGATCAAAGATGAACAGGTTAACCTTCGCTAGCAAGAATTAGATGCACTCGATGAGAAGAGATTTGTAGCCCAACTGAACCTTGAACTCCATCGGGGAAGAATGAAAAGGGCCTTTGACAAGTCAGTCAAAGTCCGCTCATTCACTCATGGTGACTTGGTCCTAGTAGTAAAATGGCCGATCGTTATGCATGGGCGACGCAAGGGGAAGTTTGACCCAAAGTGGGAAGGCCCTTTCGCAATCAAGAAGGTTTCTCCAAATGAAGGTTATATATTGG